GAATATCAAACAAAATATGGACAGAAATGAAACTTAAACCCACTAACCGGATCGGAACGACGATGAACTCGAACGGAAACAAATCTGCCTGGAAACAATTATCGCACCAAAATAACTCGACGCCGAAGACGACCACGAACGGACTACTGTTCAGGTGGTCGTTGCTGGGCGATCGAGATGGCAGTAGGGTGGTCACTTGGACGAAGAAGAAGGAGCAGGGTTGCCATGGAGGGGTTACTGCTCGCTACTACTGGACGGGAGCTTGGAGATGGTCGTGCCTCGACTGACGGAAAAGAAGAAACAACAGCCATGGTTGTCGGAGGTGAAGCTCGTTTTGGACTGGTTCGCTGCGTGCTGAAGAGGATGACGAAGCAGCGGCAGCAACAGGTGGTGACGCTGGGCAGTCCGTTGCTAGAAGAACTGGACGTCGACGAAGTAGCCGGTGACGACGATACAGAAACTGGACGAAGCAGCAGCAGCAACGCGGTCAGCCATGGTCGTGCGTCATGATGGTTGACGGACTGGAGGTTCCATGGCATGGAGCTTCGTGTCTGGAGGAGGGCAGCCAATGGTCAACGAGGAGGGGGTTGTCGGACTGGTGGTCATTTTGAGGAGGTGAAGCAGCAGCGATGACTGCTTGTCATGGTAGAGTTGGATGATGAAGAAGACGACGCAACATGGGTGGTCGTTGAAGGTGGTGAAGCAACAAGGGGGGGGGCAGCCATGGCAGCTGGAGGGGAGGTTGAAGAAGATGATACAGTAGGGGGCGGGTAGCTTTTTTTAGGTTTAGGGTTTGTTTTTCTTTTTTTTTGTGAAATGAAAGATAGAGAGATAGGGGTGTTGGGTCTTTTGGGTTATGGACTGGGTCGACCCGGTTTTAAATGGATCGGGTCGTAGGGGAAGGTTGGGTATCTTTGGGTTTGTGGTTTAAAATTGAAGAAAAAGCCCAATCCGGTCTTCTTGTATTTTTGTTCTTTTCTATTTATTCAATTTCCTAAATAATAAAGCTAAAAATGCGAAGATTAAATTATAAAACCCAAAATTATCTGGAAATACTAATTAACTCTTAATAATAATTAACACACAATTAAATAGCGATTAACGATAAAATCACACAATTTGGATGTTAAATGCTAAAAATGCAACGTACATTATTTTTATGATTTTTTCATTTTGTAAAACAACCTTAATTAAATATCAAATGCAAATGCGACATATTTTTATATATTTTTTTATTAATTTAACACATTAACATGCACATGCAAAAATACAAATAATTATCAAAAAAAGTCACGAAAATTCAAAAATTGCACACAAAGGAAAATTATTTTATTTTGAATTTTTGGGAGTAATTCTCATATAGGGCAAAAATCACGTGCTCACAGCAGCCATTGAGTGCTGAGCATTATTAGCCGCCGGAACCTTTTAAAATGGTGTGTAACAATGACTATTTGTGCAAGCTGCAAGTGCAAAAGAGAACGCGTATACGGAACCAAATGGATATTGGTGACACCGTTTATGAGCGTAAATGTGGCATATGCTCGCAAACAGGACACGACCGTCGTAAATGTCCTTCAGGTGGTGTGCATGGCGGTGGTAATCCAGCTCCTAGTGCAAGTTCGTTCAATGTACCCAACTATCAAGGATACACCTAGTCTTTTGTTTTCGTATTATTTTTTGTAATACGCTCCTATACTTGTGTATGTTGCAATATCTATCAAATAAAATTATGTTCCACAATCTTGTTACATCTTATTTTTTAACATGACCTTTTGAATTGGGATGCTGATATGATTGTTCAAATATTCAACTTATTTGTATTAGTAAAGAAGACGAATCTAAAAATTAAAAAAAACCTATAAAATCAAGACATCCTTTATTATCTTTCTTAAAATTTAATATGTAAAGCGTGGTATAATACTACGTTTTGTGTGTTGTCTTGTTGTTCTGAAAATAGCTGAACCGACTGCGAAAAAGCTATTTTGTTTCATAAAAATTTAATATGTAAAGCGTGATATAATACTACGTTTTGTCTGTTGTCTTGTTGTTCTGGAAAAAGCTGAATCGACTGTCAAAAAGTTGTTTTGTTTCATAAAAATTTAATATGTAAATTGTTACTACGTTTTATGTATTATCTTGTCGTTCTAGAAAAAGCTGAACCGACTGTCAAAAAACTGTTTTGTTTCATAAAAATTTAATATGTAAAGCGTTACTATGTTTTGTGTATTGTCTTGTCATTTTGGAAAAAGCTGAACCGACTGTCAAAAAGCTGTTTTGTTTCATAAAAATTTAATATGTAAAGCGTGGTATAATACTACATTTTGTGTGAAATCTTGCCTATAAATAACGGGCACATTCTAGTTATTTTCTGCGCTTAACAATAACCAATAACAAATATTTTCATAAAACCAAGGTTTCTCTTTAACAAATGTCTCAACAACCTCTTTATGTCCCAAGGTGCGAGTGCGGCAAAAAATGCATGATGCATGATTGTTGGGAAGAAGCTGGATGCCGCTACTGGGTGTGTATGAACAAGTTTTATAGGCAACCTGACAAACCTACATGCAATTTTGAGGTATGGGTTGATGAACCCTGTCAGCAGGAGGTAAATAACCCGGCTGATCATCTCCACGATCCTCATCATGTGCCTCAACAAGTGGGTCGACAAGTGCCTCAACGCCCCCTTGCTGGGGACCACCTCCTCGCCGTCCCCCGCGACCCCGTGGGGCACCCCTGCCTCGTGGGACAACCCTGCCTCGTGGGACTACCCCGATGGTGCTTCTCTGGCGCTGTATACTCAGCCTCGTGATCCAACCTCGCGCCCTCTCTAGCTTGCTGCAGGGTCCGGAGAGCCAGCTCTTCCACCCGTCGGCCATACTCAACGACTGTAGCATTGTCGCCATGCTGCTGCATCTCCTGTCCTAACTGGTAGAACATGTGATGCCCAATAGCCTGCACAATATTTAAAATATTAATTAAATAATGCTATATCACACTTATAAGACTTATCCCACAAAACATACCAGTGCCTCGTGCCTCCCGGCATATGGTCTGTACCTATCGCCAAGTACATGAATAGGGTTCCCGATCATCAGTTGGGTGTGACGACAGTACCATGACATATAAAGCTCAATAGTCGCCTCCTGGATCAGTGAAGGTTGTGGTAGAATCAACTCCTCTCGCTGGTCCCAAATATGGACCTGTGCCTCTAGCCATCCTACAAATTCATTGTCCACCCTAGTACAATCATCCCGCTGATAATATGTAGGCACCCATCCAGGCTACCCTGGTATAGTCTAGGTACGGTCAAACTGGAGAAGTACACGCTCTGTGGCATGATGCTCCACCACATCGAGGCACATCATCGGGACGAAAGTGCTCCAAAACAGTTGATCGACCGAGCAATAATCGGGCAGATGAGCTAGCAACTCGTCACTGTATGGCGTCCAGATGACCTATAAAATAATAACAAAAAGTGAGTATTCACACCACAAGTGAATTTATAACAAGTTAGTTTAGGTACATATTTACCTGTCCGGCCACCAGAATATCTAACACATCCCTGACAAGGGGGAGATTATGATGAGCATCACTCCCTTGGTAGTTCACATGCCGGAGAACCCACCTCGTAGCTAGATGGAGAAACGGAGATGCTACACCTAGCTCTAGTGGTGGTAGAGGTGGCTGCAACGGCAGGATCCGCTGCCAGGCCCAAACCTAAGATAAAAGGTTGAAGTAAAATTTAAGAGTCATTTTAACTATATAGAATTTGGAGTAATGAACAGAGTATTCGAAAATATTGTCACCTGTAGAAGCCGCAGAAAACCACATATGTCCACCTGGGTGCCCATGCTCGCCCGACACATACTCCTGTACAGGTATACTAGAACAGCAGCACCCCAGTTATACTGGGGTAACTCATCTAGCTGCTGCAGATGATGCAGAAAACGCAGACTCAATAGATTTTCCGAAGTGTTCGGGAACAAGACACCCCCAAAAAGAAGAAACAACGCCAACCTCGTGTACTGGTCAATATGGATATCCTCTGTCTCGCCGGAAATGTCGGGGTGCAATACCTCCATATGCTCTCTGATAGCCGTCACAGAAATGCGACTGCCCCCTCTAAGTGCAGCCTCACCCTGTGGTCTGAAACCAGTATACTGCCCCAGTAAATCCAAATACTGGGGATGCATCATAGCTCTCATATACTGGGGTAGTGCAATGATCAGTCCATCTACACGCAGCCCATACAAAACCTGAACATCCTGAAGCGTGATGGTGGCCTCTCCAGTGGGCAGGTGAAAAGTGTGCGTCTCCGGTCACCACCGCTCTGTCGACGCCGTGATGAGAGGCCAGTCGAGCTGCATCCGCCCAATCTAAAAAATCCTAAGGAAGCCCGTAGTACAAAGGCGATGGACTACGCGGGCATGGAAAACTCCCCCCCTCAAAAAATTCCACAAGTCGTCCGGTCTCCCCGCGCGGAGACTCTGATCCAATAGATGTCCCTCCTATACATAGGCGGACCTATGGTCGCCCTGTAACACTAATATCTGATCCGCGACTGGTGCAGGATGCACAGGCGGCAAGTCCATGTCGTCTACTATAATTTAAACAATATTAATTGTGTGTTTGTATTATAATAAATTAAATAATTAATTTTTAATTAGATAGAGTAATTATCTATGGGTTCCAGGCTCGATATTTGAGGCCTAGTAGCACCAAGCTATCCTTAATTATTATGTGTGTCAATTTCAATATTTTTAAAATTTTGTTAGTTTAATAAATTCATTAATTAAATTTTAATTAGATAGAGTAATTATCTATGAGTTCCAGGCTCGATATTTGAGGCCCAGTAGCACCAAGTTATCCTTAATTATTATGTGTGTCAATTTTAATATTTTTAAAATTTTGTTAGTTTAATAAATTAAATAAAATTATTTAATTTGATAGAGTAATTAGCTATGGGTTCCAGACTCAATATTTCAGGCCAAGTAGCACCAAGCTATCCTTAATTCTTTTGTGTGTCAATTTCAATATTTTTAGAATTTTGTTAGTTTATAAATTAAATAATTAATTTTTAATTGGACAGGGTATACAACTATGAGTTCCACGCTCAATATTTAATTTGACAACATATATTAATTTGTTAGTTATGTAAGTTTATTTTATAAATTAAATAATTAATTTTGTAAAAGGCTCTATATTTTATAAGTAGATACTTAAACTACAGAGACTGTATGCTAAAAGGCTCTATATTTTACTACGCTATAAGGCTCTATATTTTACTACGCTAAAAGGCTCTATATTTTACTACTCTAAAAGGCCACTATTCTTTAAACAAATAAATAATATAAACAACAAACATATGAATATAACATTCACGAAATTACATATAAAACAGTAAAAGATATTTGTGAACAATTTCATTAACAATAAAAATTATTTTTCAAGTTTTACCTATTTTTTTAAAACACTAATAATTTAATCCGGGTAAAATAAAATACAAATTTAATCGCAAACATAACACAAATCAACGTGGAAACACATTCAAAAAACAAATGTACATATGCTCTACGAGTTTTGAAATAAACTAAATCGGAATACCTCGATTTATGTTTTTTGAAATATCGGAAATTTGGAATTTTGACCCCGAAAGAAAGAATCCAAGGCTTGGGTTGTATGCGGGACCTACGCTCTTCACTTTTTGTGTGACGGGTGGGGCCCAATAATTTGTTTTAATCGCGTGT